GATAACATTGGGTACCCTTTTTTTCTCTCTGGCTTCAGTCGACTCTGTACTTCTCTTGTGTCTTTTGTCAACTGATTCAGAGTAGCTACAGTGGAACAACCTCGATATAACAAATTGGGACTAGCAAACTTTGTTCACCATAACGAGGTTTAAATTGACGTTCTTTCCTATTTGTTTTACTATTACTGGTGCGAAGAATATCGTTTGGTAGTAAAATCCAACTAGCGGTCTATTATCAATGCTGCGTTATGATTGGCTGAGTTACTACTAGTAGACTACGTCTTATAACCCACTAGTAGCGACTGCACCGACTTTAAGAACTAAAACAATGGCTGCTGAATCGCATTTTGCTTGATAGAGTTGTTTTGCCTCGATATTTTTATCAACTAGTTGCATTTTAGTAAAAAAATTATTCCTCTCGCCTCATGGCTTCTGAGTCAGAGACCATTCGGGCTCGAGGAATAATAAACTATACCGAGGAATTCGTTATATAGAGGTTATATCGAGGTTTCACTGCATTCTTTTATTTCAATCAATTTTGTGATCGTTTGGTACTGTGCTAAATTATTCGAGTAAGTTGACCCATTTCATTACTCAGTTACTCTGTCAAGCGACAAAAACGAAATGACAGGGCACTTTTTTTACGATTTTCCACTTAAAATTAAGGCTAAAAAATGTCGTCTCATTTCTTAAGAAACCGTGTAACTTAACCTTTCTGTTAATAATAATATAATAAAAATAATAAAAAATATTTATATAGCGGCTATACTTTTCAGTGCTAAGCGCTTTATGATTCACTCGGCCCAAAAATTATCTCTGGGTAAGCTTGTACTATGAAATTAATATTAAAGGTTTCAAGGAGCCTTACATGTGAAAGGGGGCCAACATAGATTGGGATGAACTTTAGTAAGAGAATTTGACATGGCAACAAGCTATATTTGAGCATTTCTTTGTGGAAGCTCCTCTAGGCTGTATAAACTTTTACTCTAAATGAGGTGAATATCTTGTCTTATGCATATCAGGCTATTACCAGTTGGATAATACTACATTGAACGTCAGTAGTTGTCAAGTGCCTACTTCTTGTTTCAGACTTAACGTATTAGAAAACTGTATTTCAATATAACTTCTGAAACCTCAAAAAACTAACGCTTCCAAATTGGCCTCCTTGAGATATGATGTACAACATAAGTTATAAAAGTTATTTCAAAAATGGGTGATTAAATTTTTAATAAAAAAGGGCTGTTTACACTTAATGTATAGAGACAAAAAACACGGTGATCATAGATCATCCTACTTCTATAGCCATAGATTGGGAAACCATTATTAAAAAACAATTTCTATAATAGTTTCTTCCTTGAAATCGTGCATGAAATAACTTCTCAGTTGCTTGAGCAGGCAAATATTACAAGAAAACCCTAGAAAAGACTAAACATGCTAACGGCTTAAAAGAATACAAATGCCTTCAGTTACAAACAGAGTAATAACAAAAACATCTAGCAGCTATATTTAACGACCAATCATACCAGTCACAAATGAGTCTTTTACACGTCTTCTGTATGTTAAAGAGCTTTCTCACGATTAAGGTAAAAAATGTTCAGTATAATTTTAACTGAGAACTAATGATTACGTACAGGTGATAAGGTATTTGTGCGCATTTTATTATTTTAGCTGACTGACAGAGCCACAATAAACGCTGTGTGGCAGCCACTGAAATGAACCCCAATGGTCCAACGAGAAATGTCCCCAAACACAATTTGGCACTCCGTCAGTTACATATCATTACTGAAGATGTTCTCAAAGTTTTCACAGATAAAGAAAAATGTTAGAAGTTAAAGGTTTTACGAAATATTGTAAAACGCATATGGCGGTTGATTTATGCGGGAATGTTAAAGAAGCTGTGTCAAGAAACTTAATACCTGCCACCAAGTTGAGTAAAACGTAAGATAACCACTCAAAAAATTAAAGGAATTTATAAACAGCGAAGCAAATATAAAAGAAGACAGGGATGGACAAATTCGATGAAGATTGAAACGGATTGCGATAGGGGTTTTTGAAATTTTGTTAGCCAAACAGTTTTTCAATAATTCATTTTTGTTCATTGGAAACGTTTGATTTAATGCTTGGGAGACATATTTGTTTGATGCAAAGCTGTGATTTTGTCATTTACATATTATCTCTTAATCTCTATAGCGAATATGGACACGTAATTGGCATTATAAAAAAAATGAACAAGCCAGCCGTGACACATCCTATAATATAAAAATGTCTCTATTCAGCCGTCCCAATGACGCAATGGTCCCGTGGGAAACGGGCCGGAACTAAGACCCTGTTTACATGGAGTGGAGGACCCCGGTCTAGTGGGGTAGGTTTCTTTTGTTTTGTGTCCCCCAGAGCGTGAAGACAAAAGAAACCAACCCCACTAGACCGGGGTCCCCCACTCCATGTAAACAGGCCCTAAGAGTAAGAGAACCAGCTCACTCGTCAAGCGCGAGCACACTTAATTTTCACAGTCACGTAAATCACAATCGTTCATCAATCTAAGTGAATGCTATAATGGATGCCTTCTCAAATTAGTTAACATTTATTGAATAGCGCTAAAAGCGGGGAGCTGAAAGAACAATGATAAGATATAATTTCTAAAGTTCCAAATACGTGACTAAATTAACGTTTCAGGTGCCTTTTCAGCAAATCGATGATCAAATATATTTCTATAAGTACAGTAAAATAACAAGGACCGTGGAGTTAAGAATAAAACAATATTAACGATATATTTTGTGCTTGCCTGTGTAGAGGGCATTGACTCCTTCCTTTTAGCGTTTATCTTTTATTTTGATGACAATTTTATCTGCCCTGTACAACTGAATCAATAGTGCAAGTAAATAAGGTTTATGAACATTTTAACTTTTGAGATAAAAGACGCTTCTCAATGATTCTACTGCAAAGGGACTCAATGGTTGACAAAGTAATATTTTCATCATTTTATGAAGGTTAAATCGCATCAACTGATTCATATGAAGGAAGGATGGGGAATCAATATTGTTACAATTAACGTTTCCTTTTCTATTTACATGTATATCTTGAGGAAGTTATGAATTGTGGAATGCTGCCTAAGTTTTTTGAACTTTTTGATAACTTTAGTAGATGTAGGGTCTTTCCTTCATACAGGTTAAAGAAGAAAAAAATGAAAAACGGCCAGTCCGTCCTCTCGAATACAAACTGTAATCATTCATCCTCTCACATATTGACCATTTAAGTTTTAAGCACTCATTTCAAACTTGATATCTGCTGTAAGCCTCATAAGTAGATGCTCACTTTACCTGAGAGGCAATTACACTTTAAAAAGGACAATTGAACTAGTAATTTGGGATTTGCTTCCGCTTTGTTTTATTAGAAAAGGCCTGTTTCACAAACAGAAACGGCATTATAGCTGGCAGCCAGCATGAAGGGCGTTACTCGAGGAATTATACTCGTTCTTCTCGCGGTTTTTGCTGTTATAAAAGCAGAAACATCGGCTGAGGAGAGTGTTGCACCTCATGAAAACACTCTCATTGGGATCAATAATGCTGAAGATGTAGCTGAAAATCCTGTAGAAGATGACCGGGAAGATGAAAGGATCCCCACGCAAGAGGACAAAGGTAAAACCTTGAAGCTTGACCATTTCAGGACAACGTTTTGTTAGATAATTTCTCACACTTGGCACTGCAATTCACTTCATCTGTATTATCAACCTGGTCTTCTATTCATATTAATTCCCGGTGTCCTCTTAGTTACAAGGTTTTTTTTATAGTTTAGTTTGAACATTCAAAGAAAAAGAATACTGCTTTCTCTGACGGAGAAATTACACATCGCAAACCTTTTTTGTTCAAATAGTCCAGACAATAAGCATGAATGAGAACTAAGAAGCAAGTGACTTTTCCATCGGAAAAACCAACCAAATTGTCCACAAAGTTTTGGCAAGCGTCTTCGTGTCGGCGTTTAATTTTCCGAACAGAAAAAAGTCCTTTATTGGACTCGCTAATGTAGCCTCTGCATGGGCCTTATAAAATTAAACCATGAGAACAAAAGTTCAATCACTCTTAAATAGTTCAGTACAAATTGTAAAATCTACTTGTTAGGTGGTTTTTTCCCTCATGATCAGTTCATTGATTAATCATTTATTCAGTTTGTTGAATTTTTGTTTTAATTACATCATTCAGAAACAGACGACGAAAATTGGGAAACACAACAAGATCAATTCAACGAAGAAGCAGCTGGCGAGGAAAATGCTGAGTCTGACGAGGAAAACAGCTTACTCACAGGTATTATTTGAGCAAAAGTACAGCATTCTCAACTTCCCGTTTAATTTGTTCCCACTAAATTAAAACTTCCTTTAGTGCGTGAAGTCAGTGCGCTTTCGCAGTGACCCCAGGAGATTGTTCCAGATCCCCAATAATTACATGGTATCTTCCCCTTCTTGATTAAAAGATGGTTGCGATTGTAGAACATAAAAGGCGCCTCTATGCCTCTAGTGAACCACTCTTATTCCTTCAATTTCAGGTTTGAAGTTTTTGCAGGAATTTGAGCAAAAGCTGCACATACACTGATTAAAAGATGTTTAACGGGCTTGATTCGGGAGGGCTGCCCTTATTAATGCTTGCATTTTCGGAGTTTAAATAGCTCTCTTATTATTTTATTCACTGTTTACTGATGACCCATTTACAGGAGCCGAGGATGAAGATGAAGAAGTTTATGACCAAGAAGAGGAGGAAGAAGCAGGACAGAATGAAGAAGATTATGCGGAAGAACAAGCTGCTGACTCTGATGACGAAAACAGCGCGCTCATGGGTAAAGGTCAGAAGAGTAGTTGTACTCAGTACGCTTCATTACCTACCGTACATACCTTGCCGTACATTTTGTAGGTAACTCAAATCAAACAAAACAATAATGGCTTTTATTTACTCTCAGTTTTCTGGTATATATTTATACACTGAAGAGATGTCATGCCTTATTAATGTGTGCATTCACTTTTCTGAGTTGAAATAGCTCTCTTATGATTTTATTACCTCTTTACTGATGACCCATTTACAGAAGCCCAGGATGAAGATGAAGAAGTTTATGACGAAGAAAAGGAGGACGAAGCAGAACAGGATGAAAAAGATTATGCGGAAGAACAAGCTGCTGACGCTGATGACGAAAACAGCCCTCTCATGGGTAAGTCAGAAAAGTAGTTGTACTCAGTACGCTTCATTACCTTAACTCAAATCAAACAAAACAATAATGGCTTTTATTTACTCTCAGTTTGCTGAAATATACTTATACACTGACGAGATGTCATGCCTTATTAATGTGTGCATTCATTTTTCTGAGTTGAAATAGCTCTCTCATGATTTTATTACCTGTTTACTGATGACCCATTTACAGAAGCCCAGGATGAAGATGAAGAAGTTTATGATGAAGAAAAGGAGGACGAAGCAGGACAGGACGAAGAAGATTATGAGGAAGAACAAGCTGCTGACGCTGATGACGAAAACAGCCCTCTCATGGGTAAGTCAGAAGAGTAGTTGTACTCAGTACTCTTCATTACTTGCCGTACATACCTTAAGGTAGATTTTGTGGGTACCGTATTTCCTCAAATAATAGCCAGGGTCGATTATTTCTTTTTCCGCACAAAAAGGGGGCGATTATTCGAGGGAAGGCGATTATTTGAGGGAGGTGATTATTTCAAATATTGCCCACTGGAAATCGTGCGCTAAATATTTTTTATCATGCCATTAAATCAGAAAATAATCACATCAAATTAATATATAACTGAACATAGGCTTTTTAGGTGTTCCAAATTTAGTTCCTTGATTAAATTTCATAGCTTGAATCGTCACTGATCAGTTTTGCTGAATCCTATTGCACTTACACTTGACAGGGGGGAGGGCGATTATTCGAGGGAGGCGCTTATTTTAAATATCTCCGTTCAAGGGGGGCGATTATTCGACTGAGCGAGGCGAGTAATCGAAGGACGGCTATTATTTGAGGAACGGTAACTTCAATCAACGGCTTTTATTTACTCTCAGTTTATACTAAAGAGGTGTCATGACCTTACATGGTATATGGTTCAAACATTTCAATTATGAGATAAGATTCGACCAAATCAGTTAAATTTGCTGTTAAGTTTCAATTTTGAAAAAAAATCTTCTTTTTCAATATATATATTGACTAGAAGAGCCAGATTGTATAGCCAATACTCTTTCCTACTACAAACGACATCATGTTTTGCTTTCGACTTTAATCTTTTTTGTTGCTACCACCGGCTATCTACATGTACTAAGTGGTGCAAAAAATTAACTGCTTTCGAATTTTGCTTTTTTCAAATGACCCTATTTCTTCACAGAATCTAGCGAGAAAGCTGATGAAGATCTGCTAAAAAGCAACACGCCGGTTGCGTCGCGCTGTGGTATATACAACCAAATCACCCAAAAGTGCTGTTTCGGACGTAAAATATCCAGGTTTTTCCCCTGCCGTCCTCGACTGAGATGCGGTTTTGCCTACTACAACCCACGGACCCAAAAGTGCTGTAACCGTAGAGTGATCTCCAGGTTTCTCCCTTGCCGTCCTCGACTGAGATGCGGTTTAGCCTACTACAACCCACGGACCCAAAAGTGCTGTAACCGTAGAGTGATCTCCAGGTTTGTCCCCTGCCGTCCTCGACTGAGATGCGGTTTTGCCTACTACAACCCACGGACCCAAAAGTGCTGTAACCGTAGAGTTATCTCCAGGTTTGTCCCCTGCCGTCCTCGACTGAGATGCGGTTTTGCCTACTACAACCCACGGACCCAAAAGTGCTGTAACCGTAGAGTTATCTCCAGGTTTGTCCCCTGCCGTCCTCAACTGAGATGCGGTTTTGCCTACTACAACCCGCGGACCCAAAAGTGCTGTAACCGTAGGGTGATCTCAAGGTTTGTCCCATGCCGTCCTCGACTGAGATGCGGTTTTTCCTACTACAACCCACGGACCCAAAAGTGCTGTAACCGTAGAGTGATCTCCAGGTTTGTCCCCTGCCGTCCTCGACTGAGATGTGGTTTAGCCTACTACAACCCACGGACCCAAAAGTGCTGTAACCGTAGAGTGATCTCCAAGTTTGTCCCCTGCCGTCCTCGACTGAGATGCGGTTTAGCCTACTACAACCCACGGACCCAAAAGTGCTGTAACCTTAGAGTGATCTCCAGGTTTGTTCCCTGCCGTCCTCGACTGAGATGCGGTTTAGCCTACTACAACCCACGGACCCAAAAGTGCTGCAACCGTAAAGTGATCTCCAAGTTTCTCCCCTGCCGTCCTCGACTGAGATGCGGTTTTGCCTTCTACAACCCACGGACCCAAAAGTGCTGTAACCGTAGAGTGATCTCCAAGTTTGTCCCCTGCCGTCTTCGACTGAGATGCGGTTTTGCCTACTACAACCCACGGACCCATAAGTGCTGTTATAGGCCCACACATGTTGTACTTAAGTATGCCTCTTGCCGTCGTCGCGGTTAGAACATTACTGATCGGAGAGCAAAGAAAACGCAAAGAAGTAAAGCAAATGGGATGAACTGATACCAAGTTAATCTTTTCTTGAATTTCGTTTGGTTGTCAATAAAATTTCCTTGATAAGTAAAAAGATATGGCGTTGTGATTATTCTTGTTCAAACAAATTTTAGTTCTCTCAAAATTACTGGGAAAAAAGGAAGTATTTCGATGTGGTGATGCCCTGGGGGACATTCAAGGGATGTTAATGTACCACCGAGGCCATCAAGTCCTAACCCTGATTAAGACATCCAAAGAAATCGTTCATTTCGCGACTGTTTTAAGACAAGACTCCTTATTTCATGACCCGGATTCATGTCTTTTCGTATGGCAAAATTAAATAACGTTTTATATTGCCATCATGAATTTTTTTTGTGAAAAAGGTCTTGGTATCACAAATGAAGAAAGTATATACTGAAGACCTCTTACAGCCAACCTTCACACTCTTTTAAAGGCTTTCGGTCCAAAAATGATACGGCCTGTTCAAGACTCCAAAAAGTGAAATAAAATTATGTTCCCAGTTTAAGACTCAAGACCCTGAAAATTATATCTTGTTCAGATGCACATACCAGTTTAGGCCAAAAAGATGACCCCCTGGGGTCGGGCACTCAAAAGCGTTTGTAGTCAGAAGCGCAGGCAGGCATTTTTTTCGTTTAAGCCCAGGAAGGGAACGTTGAAACTGAAAAAAATCACGAACTTCATTACAAGGAAAAGTATTTTTTAGCGCAAAAAGCTCAAAAATAGATTAACCTACCCATTTCGTGCGGCTTCTTTGGATTCTTCTTTGACAGCCGTACCAGAAGAATATGTCGCCATCTTGTTTAGTTCGCACACTTCCAGAGGAAAACCGCTGTCCGCAAATTGAGGACTTGTGTTTTTTCTTAGTAACCGACCCAGATCCTCTCTCGGTCAATGGAGTCAACTTCCGGTAAAAACGCAAACTTTGGCAAGTCATAAATAGTTTGGAGATGTTTCATAGGAAACAAAACCACATTTTTTGAATATTAGGCAACATAAGCTATAACCTGGCTAAAAAGTATCGCTGCTGTGCTGCTGAATTTTTATTTCTTGCTTACTTTACGATTTATTCTTACATTCCTTTCTTTTAAAAAGCGTCACATTGAAATCACAAGAACACTGATTTTGTTCTTTTTAAGTATTTTATCAATTAAAGAACTGCATACTATCACGAAAGAACGACTCAATAATACCGTATGGACAAGAACTTCGTCATTAATGTAGAACTCCTATCGATTGACATACTTCAGGATACTTTTCCGATAATAATCGATAGTAATGGATAAAAATTGATAAATCAGTCATGGATGATTTCTATCGGAAAATGATAACCATCGAAGATTAATAACGATTACTAAGGATTTTCATCGATTATCGGTCTATCGATTAACTACGCCTGAAAAACGCAATTGTCGAGGTTGCGAAAATCTAAAAATTTTTTGTAATATGATAAATGTTGTTGTCATATATTGCATTCAACTGGCATTGCGTACCGCTCGAGTAAAATACGCTGGAAACTGAAATACAGGTATTTGATTGAGACTGTGAGCCTGATTTTTAGCAAACATGTTAGGCACCAAAGTGAGACAAAACGCCAGCAAATAAAGTAGCTATAGGAGGGAATTTAAAAAAATGATAAATTAATTAAATGTTTTGTTTTTCTCCAAGTTAGCAAAGATAAGAGGTATTTTCTCCTACTTTTCCTTTCGCAGTTGTATTTTCGGTCTTATATTGGGTGCCTGAAACTTGTCCTTCGAGCTTCTTTTCAGTCAAATATAAATGGCTTATGATTTTCGGTTGGTAAACGTTTAGAAGCTAAAGAGGCACCCTCCTTCATTTCAGGCTTTTCTTATTTCTCTTTTGTTCTTTGACAACTGATTTGTAGCAGTTATTTTTATTGTGATCGTTCGGTAAGCTAATTTTTTTAAAAAAATGTTCAAGTAGGACCCATTTCAACACTCAGTTACCCAGTCAAGCGACAAAAAGGAAGTGACCCGTCACTTTTTTTTTCAATTTTTTCCTAAAAAAGTTCTCCAAGGTCATTTAGCCGAAAAAATGTCGTCTCATTTCTTTAAAAACCATCCTTGACCTTTCACTTTGTTACTCACTCGGCCCAACGTATATCTCTAGGTAACTGACCTATGAAATAAATGTTACAGGTTACACTATTTAGTCTCACGTATGGGAGGCCAGCATAGACTGGAATAAACTTCCGTTTTGGGAAGATGGCATAGCAACAAGCTCTTGTGTCAATGAGCACTTCTTTTGTAGAAGCTCCTTCAGCTGTATACACTTGTAATAATATCTTATCTAACGCATATTTGGCTATTAGCAATCGAATAAGATTACGTTGAGCGTAAGCAGTTTTCAAGTGCCCACTTCTGTTTCAGACGTAAAGGTATTATCTCAATATAACGTCTGAAACCTCATAAAACTAACGCTTTCAGTTTGGCCCTCTTGAGCTGAGATGTACAACATAAATGACCTGATCATGTTTAAATGAAAAAAGAGGCGAGCACGTCAGTGTATGAAGATCTTGAAAAACTAATCACCGTAATCATAGATTATCATACTGTTCTATCATAACCATGGATTGGGAAGCCATTTTTGAAAAACCAATTTTAATAATCATTTTTCCTTGAAATCATGCATGAAATGAAATCTCAGTTACTAGAGCAGGCAATATTAATAATAATTAACCCTTCAAATGGCTGAACATGGTAACAGCTCAGTTAAACTCGGGCGCGATACAAATTCCTTCATTTACGAACATAGTGATAACAAAAACTGATTTAGCACAGATTTAACGGCAAATCAGTCCCGAGTAAAAGAATGAGTCTTTCCCTGAGTCTTTTAAACATGTTCTGTATGTTAAAGACAATTAGGTAACAAGAGTTATATTTAATAGACCTTTCCATTGGACCAGTTGGGGAAAATTCGTGAAAACGGGTCAAAAGAAAGCTATAGCCTTAAAATTAGCAAAGATTCCAAGTTTGGACGTGATTTGTTGAAAACGAACGAATATTCAGCCCCACAAAGTCGCCGAATTTTAGAGACGTTTGTATGGTGGGGGACCAAGCTCGTACCAACCTACCCACGCCCCCCTCGACTCACCAAACAGAAGTCTGTAAAATTTAGTGACTTTGTGAAGCAATATATCTTCGCTCGCATTCAAGGTATCACGGTTTCCCAGTTTTAAGGTGCTCTTTCCAGATGTCTTTCCAGCGGTGTCAATGATTATTCGTCTTTTTATCCAAATTTGAAAAAACTCGTGTAAAGGTCTATTCAATGTAAAACTCATGTAATGATAAGGTACTCGCCATTTAACTGAGGTATTTGTGCGCATTTTGTTATTTCCACCTTACTGGCAGTAAGCTCAGTGCAACCCCACGGCCCGATGTGGAATTGCCCTTTATATAACCTCAAAAAGTCATTCCTTCAGTTTCATATCAACGGAGCAGTTGCTCAGTGGAGCCAAAAATAGAATGTGCTCAAGCTTAGCAGCGCAGTAGAATAAGATTACGCTGAACCTAAGCAGTTTTCAAGACGTGAAGGTATTAGAAAATTCTTTTTCAATATATCGTCTGAAACCTCAAAAAAACTAACTCTTAAATAATGACCACCTCCTTCACAATGACACAGTGGTCCCGTGGGAAAGGAACTATAGATAAAAACCGTTTTTAAAGCCAGCTCGCTCGTCAAGTAAGCAAGTGCGCGGTACTTAATTTTCACCTTCACGTAATTCAGAATCGTTTTTAATCAAATTGAATACTGGAATGGATGGCTTCTCAAATTGGTTAGTATTTATAGAGTAGCGCTAAAAGCAGGGGGCTGAAAGTGACGTGATAAGTTGTAATTTCTGACGTTGCAAAATAAGTGACTACATTAAGGTTTCAGGTGCCCTTTCAAACACTCAAAACATCAGTGACCAAGTATATTTCCAAGTACGTGTGATCAATACAACCATATTAACGATATGTTTTGTAGCGGGCATTAATCAGAATACAGTCATCTACAAATATCATTTATTTTGGTTACAAATGAATCTATAGTGTGAATAGAACTACAGAGATTAAGAGGCTTCTCAGTGGGACTCGATGATTGACAAATTAACATTTGACAAAGTAGCATTTGCAGGGTTAAATCGCATCTAGTGAGTCATATAAGGGAGGGAAACGATTTATTCACAATTAACGTATTGCTTGTTGATTTTTTACACGATTAAATTTCTGCAAACGTATTATACCCTTAAGTATTTGATAGATAAAATTGTGCATAAATATATGGACTCAAACGCACGGACGCCAAATGTTACCTTGTGTTTATTTGCGTCTCTCTATGAAAATTTCCGCTCATTTAAACCCGTATAAAATCTCTTGGCCTTAAAATGTAGTACCATTGAGAAAGAGTTGAATCGCCAGCTCAGTGATAAAACCCGCTTCGAACTCCTCAATTTATTCCCTCGCCGAACGCCAAATAACACCGTACTTTGGAAATAATTTGCATCATCTAGTTGACCTTGATTGACGGATCGAATCAGGGTAAAGCGCATAGGGCTTTCCACGAGTTGCTCGGCAACTTTTTGGCAACTTCTCGTATTTCGAGAAACTTTTTGCCTTTCAAGCAACTGTTTGCATTTTGAGCAATTTCTCTAGTTTTCTTCTAATTCTGATTTGTCAGAGCAGCTTTTAGTGCTTTAATTGGCCTTTCTTCCATATTTCACAATGTTTTAGTAGACAATTTATGAATTTCCTGTAAAAAAGGAGCCAAATCATGGGCGCAAGATAAAAGTAGCCGAGCTGCCACGTCAGCTGTTTTTAGAGAAAATTCAAAATGGTGAACGAAAATTCATACTCTACTGACTGGACTGACTTGGGTTTCTCAGGTGAAGAAAGTCATTTAATAGTTTTATTGGATCATTTCATTTTTTGGTTTTAATTGAGGACAAAGTT